TAAAACAAAATATTCTGCTTGCTTGCACAACCATCCTGTATAATAATTTTTTTCCTGTGGATAGTGGTATTTCATTTCAGGTTTAGGTGTTATTTCTGAAGAAAGCATTATGTGGTGATATTTCTTTACAGGTTTTTACTAAAACAAGCTTGGCTCCACGAATACAGGAGTAATATAGCCATTTGGTTCTGTAGCCCACTAATGAGAAATTGTTTTTAAAACACCACCTAGGACAATCATTTTGTGGATGCTCAATTGTACCTCTTCTAGTAACTCATTCTGCCTTGCATTCAGCATAAACACATAAAAATTCAGCACTTTTTCCAGAGTGGGAAAGAAAAGAGTCTCTTTTCAAATGAAAAAAAAAAGGCCTTTCTGAAGAAATTACTGCAGAATAGAGAAATAATTGTCTCTTGAAGAAATGAAAGAACAAAAATGGATGCGTGTGGGTAGGTAGAGCCTATGGTGTTTGGAGTAGAAAGGTCAGTCCTGTGGGACTGTGGGAAATCCCTTGAGTGACAGCAGAGTTGAATGGGACCCGTACTTGACAGGTACAGATGAGCTCTGAGAAAATGAGAGCAAACTCAGCTTAGAGGAGGCCGATACCAGCGGCCATGCACTTTACACATGGACGTCACACGTGCAGAGGGAGCCCTGAGCTACTCCTGATGAAGATCTTTCTTCTCACAGTGTTTGCTCATCTGTCAGAATTACCTGTTCACTAGAGAAGCAGACTTGTATTTGGCAGCATAGAGACTCATCCTATAAATGCTAACCTTGAAATCTTCATCTGAAGAATGGAGATCCTGAGAACTTGAAGTAGTTGAGAAACCCCCCCCCCCCCAAAGAGAGGTTGAAGAGACAGCCTTGAGGCAGTTTAGAGGTCACAGACCCTCAAATGAATAAGGAGCCGCTGAAATCCGTTTTCCATAACCTATTCAAAACATATCAAGGAATAAATCAACTCACTTCTCTGTCTTGGAAAATCATAAATAGAAAAATCAAAGCGCTAAAATCAGAGAGCTAAAAACAGATTCAGAGAAGTCACAGAGTTCACAGTTTGCCTCGAAGCACAGGGTGGCATCTGGATCTAACAAGGCAGACAGTGAATATTCTTAAAGTTTCAGGTAATTTACACATTTAAATGGATGCCCATCCACTATTGTTTATCAAATAATGTATTTTCACCCACTTTTGCACTAAACCTGTAACAAAGCCCTTCCAACCAAGAAGGGTCAAATGTCCAAGACTACCTTATCTCTCACAGAGGTTCGTGTTTGTGTCTCTGACCACCAGTCTCGGCAGGGTGATTTACCAATTTTAGTTTTTAGAGTTGTGGTTCCAGGGGCAGACTTCAGAGCCTTCAGCCTACTTGATGAGCACTTCATTTTTCCATGGACTGATGGGATATGTTTTGTTTCAAACTAGCCTTTGTGTTTCTTCCTGTCTACAATAGCTTTGGCTGAGAATCAACAGTTTTCTTCCCTCCCTCCCTCCCTC